AGGGGTTCTGCCTCCCCTTTCAAGGCTAAGGGTTCAGGTTCTCCTTTCAAACCAAAGGGTTCTGGTTCCCCTTTCAAGTGCATTGGTCTGGGATATCAACTTAAATCAGAGAAGGATGAGGACTTTAATGCTGAAAGGCAACGCATAGAGGAGCTTGAAGCCTTGGCTTCAAGCAGACAGAAAGAAGTAGGTTATTCTGACACTAGGACTTTTTCTGTCCTATTTCTGAGTACTATGTCATCTATTATATTATGCAGTTCCTCTCTAATTCTGACACTAGGACTTTTGCTGTCCTATTTCTAAGTACTATGTCATCTATTATATTATGCAGTTCCTCTCTAATTTAATTTCTTTCCCTCCAGATATTTACGTTAAATGCAAGGTTAGCTACTGCGGAAAGTATGACACATGATGTAATCCGAGATTTACTAGGAGTAAAAATGGATATGAGCAATTATGTGGTAAGTGTGGAGGTCGTGATTGGCCTGGAACGTATTCGAGTCTCTTGGAATGTATTCTAAATGTTTATTAGTTTGTGTGTATTTGCACAATTTTATAAATCTGCATAGTGATTGCCCCCCCCCCCCCCCATTTACTGATTGCAGACACTGCTAGATAAACAAGCTGTTCAAAAGATAGCAGAGAAGGCTCAACTTGATAACATACAGCCGCAGGTGAAGTATAAGTTTTAACGAGTTACTACAGATCTGTTTGGTAGGGATACCTTAGTCCTGAAAAGCATTGGCTTTTTTTTTTGGGCTCAGGACCAGGAGGTGGTGAACAAGCTGAAAAAGCAACTCGATGAGTTTATTGAAGAAAGGCAAAGGTAAAATCTGTTAATGGAAATTAGACTTGTCTATGATTTTACTCAGCCTCACTGACATGTGTTCAATAAAATTTTAGATGGCTCGAAGAAATTGATAGTAAACGGGCTGAGATGGTTGCTACACAGAACGCATTAGAAAAGCACCGCCAGCAAGAGCAGTTCCTTGCCTCGGAAAATGAAGTTTTAAAGGTTAGGATACCTCCTCTTACAGATTTCTCTCCTGAAGTTGTTGAAAAATATACTTACTTTTCCTATGTAAGTTGCAGGTGGAGATACATAATAATAGGGAGAGAGTAACGGAGCTTGAAGGGGAGGTGAAGAAATTATCAGGTCAGCAGAACATCCAACAGCGTATACACCATCACGCCAAAATCAAGGTAGTATCTAATCTTAACTCTAATTTGGATGATCACTCTACTTTGCATATCTTTTGCTCCCCAAATCATAGTTATCTTTTGCTCCCCAAATCACTGTCATTTTGTCAGATTTTATACAATTTCTCGGATATTATTTTCTATAATTGTATCAGGAAGAAAACTATGAGCTGAAAAGCCAAAATGAAGACCTTTGTCGTAGATTGCGGAGAGCTGAGTCATATCTCACACGCATAAAGGAAGAACTGGCTCATTATCGTTCTTGCAATGGAAGAAGTCCTTACATATCTTATGACGAGGAACAAAGACTAAAGAGAAAAATAAAGGTTAGTTTTGGCAAAATTGTTTGATTCTGGCTGGAGTTATTGGAGCCACAAGAGAGAGCACTGGTAGTTTTAAGTGGTTCTTCAACTGACAAAATGTGTTTTTTTTACAGGAGATCGAACAGGAAAAGCTGCACCTGGCACAGACATTATTTGAGCTATATACAAGCATTCTAAAGGTAGACACTTAAATTCAGCCTATGCTGTATAATAATACTAGTCTTATATTTGGCTTGATCGTGTTGCTTATATGTTTTTGAATTTTCTGTCCATAGACTGCGGGAGTTAGGAAACCAACATCTGAAGTCAACCTTTTTGCAGCCGATGAAGCTCTCCAGAAGCTCGCAACTCGAGTGATTTCATTGGAGAGAGAAGTTGATGATTTGAAATTAAAGGTCCATATACTTACCTAGCTACATTTACATCACTCTATATCTTGATAAGTGATAAAATATTACTAGTATATCAATAGGATCGCGACTTACTGTAACTATTAGCTTCTGCTGCTGTGGTTTCAGTACTGATATGTATAATGCTGATCTTTACAGAATAGGGTCACCAACGAACGAATCCGATTATCAGAGCTTAGGCAAGATCCTTCACCATTTAGCTCAAGGTCAGGGGATAATCGGCAAACACCCAGAAGAGGTTCCCAATCACCATTTTTTTCGGCACTTGATCGATAGCAGTGAGTTGTTAGCTTATTGCTAAATTGTAAATATGTGTATTCTTTATTTACCAGTAAATGTAAGCTTAGTTTGCTGGCTTGTATAGGTTTATTCTTTTGTTGTATGTATCCCATACGTATGATTTTGTTGAAATCAGTGTTTATAGCAATTCATGCATTGTGAATTGTTGTCACTCTAGTTGATATGATATGAAGAAATTGAGATTGTGCAAGAAATACTCTAGGAAAAAATTACTTCGTATATGAAATATTCTTAATTTACCTACTTACTAAGAAACTTAATTAAAAAGTATTACTTACATTATAATGATTACATAAAATTACCAACATCGTTGGGGAAATCAGCTTTACAATTTATTTTTTTTGACAATGAGCCTTACTAGCTCTTTTGTTATATCGAGTACATATTAAATTAAAGGATGTCTTATGTGCTTGATCTTGCCAGTTTGAGAAACCTACCAATTGTCTTTGAACATGCAATGAGGAATATAACATATTATTATTGGATCCCTCTTTCCATTGAACTTGGAGAATGTATAAGAAGATGATAAACAAACAAATTAACAAGTTGAAAAAGGCACCACCAAAACATTGATTAGTGTAGTTGTGGTTTACTTTTTTGAGTTATAAGAGTGTTTATTATATCAATACTATGTAGTCCGATTTAATTATTGTAATTGATCAGCGAAACATTGGTATGTTATGATATGAGAGAACCATTAGTGAGGAGGAAAATAGTAAAATTGTTGGAAGTTTCCAAAAACAGAAATGAAGCATTTATTTAAATATGGTCTTAAAAAGGAAATTGAGCTGTTATTTAAATGTGGAGTGTACTAAATTATAAGAACAAAATTTAGATAATAATGAAATAAAATGTGCATTGGTAAATGTAAAATCTCTAGCGTTGTAATTACAAAAAAGAGGTACATTTAGTCATGCATACATTGGGAAAGCTACATGTCTTACACATACTTAATACACTTCATTGATCAACGCAATCATGCCCTTACCTATTGCTGATCTTGGCTGAAAATATTAGAGAGATCGGGATTTAAATCTCTAACCTTCACTCAAAATTTAAGTTATTTAAGTTAAATACGGAGTAACTGATAAATTAAATAAGGATCCAAACTGACCTCAATAAAAGGTGGCACAATGTACCTTTTGTACTAGTATTTAAATTGGGATGTATGACATATTTTGTAAGTTTAAATGCATGGGGTAGTCAAAGACCAGTCATATTGTCATGGTTAGACCGAAACCAAAATAAGTAATGCAGTAGATGTATGAGTATTAATAATAGTTAGGGAAGCTCGATATTAATCCTTTAATAACTTGTTTGTTTAGAGAGATAAAAGTGGTCGGGGTGTAAGCATAAGGGGAGAGAATTGAGAATTCTTTTATTTGTTTAGAGGGAGATAGATTCTTATATACACCAAATGATCGAGGAATAAATATTGTAATTATTGCTTATTTAATTATTAAATTATCGAGCAAAAAATATACCTTTTGATGCACCTCCGAATGTATATAAAAATTTTCATTAAAGGGATGAAGATAATAAAGGGGGTGTGGATAGGGATTAAAAAAAGTTATTAGCTATTTCTCCAAAATAATAACTAGGGGATGGTATAAGGAATTGGGATAAATATAAGGGATTAAAGACTTTATGACCTTTAATGAAAGGGAAAGAGGATTGGAAGATAGAGGAGAAGAAATTAGTAAGGGTAATAAGTAGTTTTCTTATTTCCCAATTCACTTATCAATTGTTACCAAGCAAAAGATAACATAATTTTTATCCTTATCCCACCTACTAATTTCATATCCTTAATCTCACCTTCTTATCCTGCTCATCCCTATCTTTCTTACCAAACAACTCCATTATTTGTCATAGTGATATTATTTGAAGCACAAAATTTTGACCTATCATTATGAGCCATATGAATTATTAAAAGCTGATACATAGTATTAATTAGTGTAATGAATGTTTGAACATAACCAATGATCATCCAGCATTTGAACAGTAAGTCAATTATGTGTCATTTGAACAAATGGGGATAAAAGATACAATTATACCTACTCCACTATGATAATTTTTATCATATACTGTCGGTTGTACCTTACAACGTACAACGATTTATTGTATTTGTTTATCTACACAAAATGGCAAAAGAAAAGCAAATTTGTCTCGCTCATTTCATTTCGACTTTTTTACTTACATAAACAGAACAAATTTGTCACGTAATACACAATTAAACAAAATTGATCTACTCATTTATGCAAATTGGCAAAATCAACTTGCTAATTCGGGTAAATAAGCAAAATTGTTTTGTTCATCCATACATATGAGTAAATCAGGCATCTAGCTGTAGCTTACAAGGTACAACTGGTTGTATGGTGAAGTTTAGGTCATCACTTCTATCATACACCTAGACATACAAACATTTCAAAAATGCACATATCACTCATTTTCTAACATACATCACGCATTCACACCCCAACACATGTCTTTCATGTATACACCACCATTTAAATCAATAAATCATTCTTTACTGTTTTCAATACAAAGTAGAAATTCAAATCATTACTTGTACCATACACCTAAGCACACGTACATTCAGGAGAAAGACGTACCTAAAATCAAGAGACACACGTCTCACACATGCGTAACATACATCACATACCAACACAAGTCTCACACTAACACACACCACCATCAAAATCAATACACCATTCTTTACCGTAAACACACTTCACACCCGAGTATACAATAAAATTTACGAGTTTGTTCTTCGCCAAAACTCGAAAGAAAAAAAAATCGGGCGAGCGTGGGATCGACGAGAGTCAAAGTAGATACACCGTAACCTCAGAAAAGATTACAGTAGCACTCACTACTACACCACTCTCATTCCCCCCTCCTCTCTCTCTTGCCTCACCCTTCTTCCCCCCAAATTTCCTCACTTTCTCTCTCCTCTCCTCCCCCTTCAACTGGGTTTCGGATCAACCCACCATTTTCCCAAATCAATCAATCCAAACCCCCGAAACAATAAGATTCAAGCCTTAATTTTCGTGGGGTTTTTCTGAATTCAATTGATTCAAAGTGGGGTGGCAGCCATTAAAGGACCTTCAATAGGAGAGAGAAAATGGAGTCTCTAGGGAATAACAATGGCGGAAGCGGAGGTGGGGTCGGAGGAAAGAGAAAGATTGAAGACCAAGTTGAACTTGCGAAGCAAAAAGCTCAAGCTATCGCTGCTCGCCTTCTCAGCGACGCCGATTCTAAGCGCCCTCGTACTCTTCCAGATTCTTCTTTGACTCCTCCTGACTATTCTTCTCCTTCTTTCACCTCCTCTCATTCTTCGTTTCCTGGTATACTTTCAATTTTCTGCAATTTTTTAGGGTTTCCCCCCGTTTTCAGATTCGTCGCTATTCAATTTTTAATTTTCTGAATTTATGTTTTTTAGGTTTGAATTTTGTATGGACTTGCTTTGTCTGTGAAATTTACAGAGGTTCTTTTTGCTAATTTTTCTGTAAATTATGGTGGATTGATTTAATTAAGTTGCAATCGAAGTTTTAGAATGCAGATTTCAATGGAATTCCTCTATATGTGATTTTGTTATATGTTCATTGAATTTGTGTTTGATTATGTTGAAAGTATTGGCCTGGGAATTTGTATGCCATGCAAAGAGAATTGCTCCATCAGCTTATTAGTATTGGTAATTGATGATTTTTTTGCCGGTTTTTTGCCATGTTTAAAAAGTTGTGTTTTTGATTGCTCAACTAGCAACTACTGTCGGGTGTGTCTTTGGAATTTTAGTTATGTTTCTTCCACAATTTTGTGTGTAGTTGATGGTTTTGTAAGAAATGAAGTTATTATTTTCGAACTGCAAGTGTCAGTGTTGTCTGACGTTTTTGGGGATGCCTCTTCTATTCTTGGCTATTGGGTTATTGCTTGTCATCTTTAGCCGTAAAACTTTGAAATTGTTTATTTATGTCGGTGTAGTTGATAAGTATATAACTCAATTATACCTGCCTTTGAATTGAGCTAATGCCTATAATCCCACATTTTCCGAAGCTTTCCAATAACGAATGATTCTACTTTTTGTGCATGATACCAGTGCCGTATACAACTCAAACAAATCAGTACAGTAATGTACCAAGCAGCAAGAAAATCGTTATTCCAAATGCCAAGGTCAGTTTTGTCTAGAAATTATCTCGAAATGATTTATGCCATTACATGACCTTACACTTCTCATATGTATGCTACTTGATTTGCTTCTGGTTGCAGGTTGGAGTTATTATTGGAAGAGGAGGAGAAATGATTAAAACTCTTCAACTAGAATCAGGTGCTAGGATCCAGATAACTCGAGATTCAGAATCTGATCCTTCTTCTTTGACAAGGGATGTTGAGTTGATGGGTACCCAGGAGCAGATTAGCAGAGCAGAACAACGAATTAATGAAGTTATTGCTGAGGTGAGAATGAGGCCTTAATATAATTATTTTTAATTATGTTCTGTCAAATTCTATAATTGATCAAAACTGTATTGTGGCTAAGCAGACAGATGCAACAAGTTCTGCTCCATCTGGAAACAGAGGTCCTCCTCCCCCACAAGCTGGAGGTGAACAGTTTGTGATGAAAGTTCCTAATGACAAGGTATTTATAGTTTTCATAGTCTTTTAAAATTTTATGACTTTCTGTTTTGATTTATATGTGAACATCTCTATATTAGGTCGCTTTGGTCATTGGAAAAGGAGGTGAAACCATAAAAACGATGCAAAGCAAGTCTGGAGCTCGTATTCAGGTTTGTACATTGTTTATTTACGAGAATGCTATTTCTTGCACTATCTTGCTTTTGAAGCTTTATTAACTGGCAAATTAATTTTTGCCTTTTCTTTTTCATTTTGATGGTCGGAATTTTGGTCAGGTCACACAGTTTGGTGATGTCATGTTAGTTCTGGTTCTTAGATTTTTGCAGTTTATTATTGTTTTTGCTCTGACTTCAGGCAGTTGGTTCATTTTCTTATCGTATTACATGTTTGTGACACATTCTCGCTTTAATTTTAGGTTTTTTCTGATTGAAAATCACAAATTTTATAATTGCTCTTATTTCTGTGATGTTCTGGATTTACAGGTTGTCCCGCTTCACCTTCCTCCTGGTGATGCCTCAACAGAGAGAAATATATTTATAAATGGAATACCGGAGCAAATTGAGTCTGCCAAAGAGCTGGTCAATGAAGTTATTAGTGGGGTAAGCTGTTAATAGTTCTCGTCCCCTACCTTTCCGTGTCAATATGCAAATGTTTGTCTTTGTTGCCTACTGCATCTTTGTGGTGCTATTTTTATTGATAACTGGGAATTGGAAATTCTACAGAAATGGCCAATTGACTTGTTCCAGCCTTCTTGCTTCAAATTACTTGTCATAAACCCTTCATGTATTCTGTATAGCTATTAGCATTTTTGTACAACTATTTAATGATATCGTGTCAATTTCAGAATCGTTCGAAGGTTTTGTCTGGGAATAATTCATACCAACAGTCTGGATATCCTCCTAGTGCTGGTTGGGCTCCCCAGGGTCAACCTTCTGCACAGCAGGCTCCTGGATATGGCTACTCACAGCCTGGAGCGTATGCCCCACCTCCTTATTATGGTGGCTATGCTCCACAGCCCAATGCTTGGGACCAAAATCAAACATCTGCGCCAACTCAGCAGCAGAATACTGCCTATAGTGCGTATGGACAAGCTCAACCACCATCTTCAACTCCTCCACATGCTAACTACAACTACAGCCAGATGCCACCAGCTGCAGGCTACAGTTATCAAGGGTACCCCCAGCATCCACCAAGTTACGGAGATGTCTCAGCTCAGACTACATCATCCCAGCCAGATGGGACTGCTACTGTTCAAACTTCTCAGCCAGGTTATGGAGCCCCTGATGGTACGACCCAAACTCAGCCCCAATGTGCATATGCAACAGGCTACAGTCAGCCCCCAGCTGCCCCTGCGAATGGTTATGGTGCTTATCCAAGTTATTCTGGTGCGGCACCTACTCAGCCAGCTTATTATCAAGGAGGTTATCCACAGACAGGTTATGGACAGCAGCAAGAAGGTCAAGTTGCAAGCCAGGCATCGTACTCGTATTACGGACAAAGTGGGTACCCTCCATCTCAAGCTCCTGCTCAAGCAGGTTATTATCAGACTGGTTATCCTCCAGCCGCTGCCCCACCACAAGTGCCACCTCAATCCCAGCCGCAAGCAACTAATGGTGCATCCCAAACATCATATGCAGACGGCGGAGACTCAACTACTGGGTCTGGTGCTGCTGCTACTGAGGAAAGTGAAAATCCCCAAAGCTGACATTTCAGTGGACAGGGGCATGTTGTGTTTGCACCCTTCTATCGTAGTATTTCTGTCTCTTAAAGTTACTTCTCAGTGAAAGTTTCCTTTTACTGTTACCATTTGCCCAAAAACTGTAGGGGCTCGTGATTGACTCGAAGGTGGTCGAATTTTTTTTGAGTTGACTTATTTAAATTTTTTTTATGTTGGCTATGTGATCTTAGATTCTTTCACATATCCTGTGCCTTAATGAACAAGAATTGATGTTACAGGCTAAGAAATTTCTTCTTTTGGATTATAAAAGATTGATAGGCACAGACCCCTTCTGTTTTCTTCTGTGGAACACGATACAAAAGTACCGAGGGTGAGAATTCTGTAAGTTGGGTGTTGTAACTTTCTATCTATATTTTGCAAATTAGAAAACCAATTAGCAATAGTATCTAAAGCCAAAAACAGTTTGATGGGTTTTTTTTTTTTTTTTGAAAGAAAAAACAGTTTGAATGTTTTAAGACTCAACATACAACTATTCACTAGTATCATACGACATTATTTTTAGATTTATAAGTGCTCATACAATTCATATTCTAAAGAAAAAAAACATTTTTGATGGTCAAAATTAAAACATGATATATCTTTTTTTTCTCCTCACGTGTGGCATACTTTATTATTTACTTGATTTGGTAGGTAATATTCTGACTTTTAAAGATTTTTTTGTTAATTTATTTAACTAAAAGCCTCTAGGATTAACAGAAAGGGATCCGTGGCGCAATGGTAGAACGTTGCGTGTTCGATTCACGTCGGGTTCAAATCCCCGATCCCATCACGGATTTTTTTTTTTATTGTGTACACAATATAAACTTTAAACAAGTTATCAATAATCTTTGACAAAAAATTGCGGAATATAAACTTTTTACATTTTTTCTACCTACGGAATCGATGTTTTTATCAAGTAACAAAGGGAGGAAAAATGGTCGAGGAAGAAATCGAAGATCGATTAATCACTCTTTAATTTATAGCACCTGATTTTGTTTAATTTACAAATGGAAAACACAAGCGTCAAATAATGTTACAACAACCCATTGTTGTGAAGAGTTACAAAGTTTTGCATACCATAAGGTGTAGCAAAACAAAGTTTATATAAACATCATGACATGAATAAGAGAGAACTAAAGCTTTCTTTTGGTTCTCCCCCTCCGAAAATCCATCACTTGTTCACAATCGAGCTTCTTTGGGATTGATTCCAACCCATTTTATAGCTGATATACTTCATCAAACAGCATATACAATCTCTCCACTACTATCTAGGTCAAGCTCTGGATCCGATTCTAGATCGTCTTCCATATCATCATCAATGTCCAAGCTGCCAGTTAAATACTTGTTTAGACTTTGGGATCCAGCTGCAGGAATAGTTGCCTCTGAAATAATCTGCATGATCTCATCAATACTTTGCATAGGCTGATCTGGCTCTTCATACTGATTATTTGCAGCGTTCTCATCAGTGAGATCTGCTGGAAGGTCCTTCAGAAACCACTCATGCTGCTTTATTTCCGGAATGGTAATTCTCTGACAAATGAATGACTCACACGCTCAGGGTCAAGTAAGCAGATTCAATGTCACATTGGATGGTGAGGTTGGTAATATAACACAAAACGTAATAGATTAAACAACAAAACAAGTAGCTACTCCTTTAAGGCAAAAAAGTTCTTGATTTAAGTCACTAAATCATCACTCAAGCTCCTATCGAAATAACTTATACTCCCCCCACTGTTCGGAATTAATGTTTACAACTATTTTAGGATGTTCAAATAAAGCCGTCATATTTTCTAACGTGGATTGCAGGGTTTTATATAAATTACCAATATGCCACTTTGCCGCTACTTTAAATTATTAAGTGATGGTTTGTAAAATCATGACCTACATTTAATCACAAACAGTTAGAAAAATGTGACAATGAACTTGAAAGATGGAGTTTTACACAAGCTAGACTGAAGTTGATGGGGGCACTATCATCAAAAGTTCAAAACAACAGATGCAAACATATCAACCCAAGCAATGCAACAAATATACATGCTAATGAACACATACAAAGATGAGAGGAATCGAACAAAATTTCATGACCTCAGAAGAGATTTACCTTTGCCGGATCAGCAACAAATATCCTTGAAAGCAGATGTTGACATTCTGGAGATATATGTACATAGTCAGGAATAGAGTATTGGACATTTAAAATTCGCTGCAACAGCAGAAATCACTAAGGGTCAGACAGGCAACCAAAAAAGCCACCACCTTAGTATATAGAATGGTAAATGACTTACATGTATTGTTTTGCGAAAATTTTTGGGTTCCTCAGGGTCCTCAAAAGGGTAAGCCCCAACCAACATTACATACAAAGTTACCCCACAAGACCACACATCTGCAATCTGAAATGGCATGGAAGCAAAGATGAATAAGAGTATTCAAGTGTAGCCAACTAGCTACCACTTAATAGTCTTAGCATCAAAGAGTGCAGCATGTTTAAATTTCCCACTTCTTAAAGAACTGGTAATATGTGATACTCGTAACATAAATGGCACTTTATATTAAGCTTTCGAATGACAAGCTTTATCCAAAAAGCCAGTAGTCATTTATTGTTCAATATGACCCAGATTTCTCAAGTCCACCCCGAAGATGATATAAGAAAATGGAGGAAGAGAAATATACAAATGCACACAAGAGACAGTGTGATGAGCATATCACCTTGCCATCATATTCTTTCTTGAGTAAGACCTCAGGTGCAATATAAGCTGGAGTCCCAACAGTTGATTTGGGTTGAGAATGCAGAACAGAGGACTGAAAGTGAGCAACACATACAAATAAATGTGAGAATCAAATGTAGGAGCAGCAAACATTAACTGAGGCAGGACAACAGGAATGAGGGGCAGGGGGGAAATTAACAGCCATGTGAAACACAAGTTGTTTCATAAACATATGCAGAGCAACGGTAACAAAATTGCTTTAGAAAAAGCATGTACCTTAGAGTACCCAAAATCACATATCTTCAAGCGCGGAACTGGACTTCCATCCAATAACGTATTCTCCAACTTTAAGTCTCGATGGCAAACTTGCTTCAAGAAGCAAAAGCACGAAGAAAATTGGCCTTAATGAGAAAAATGTATACGAAAAGAAGAAAACCATGAATACAGAGATAAGTAATGATAGAATTACCATTGAATGACAGTAGCTGACACCGGATATCAACTGTTGAAAGAAGAAACGTGCCTAATGATAAGAGGAAAATCATTGTCAAACTTAGTTAGGCAACTACTCCATAACAAGTTACTAGTGAAAAGCACAAAAATCACAAGCCAGTAAATAATCGATCACCTCATCCTCACTGAACCGTCCAGCATTACAAATACGTTCAAACAGCTCTCCACCCGAAGCATACTCCATAACGATAGCCAAATGTGTAGGAGTCAATATAACCTAATAACGAAACGATCAACAGTCAAGACACTTTGCTACAACCAAACACTTCAAGAGAAACAAGCAAGAGGAGTATACATTACACAAATACAAACCTCCTTGAATCTGACAATGTTGGGATGTCTCAATGACCTATGATTAATAATTTCTCTCTGCACATTCTCATCTATCTGTACACATAACATAATCAACTTATCAACACAATGCAAAATCTTAGTAACATTTCGTTTTCGCTTAAAATCGTTCATAGTAATAGTATATTATTTTTCTAGTTACCTTCATCTATATTAAGTTTTATAAAATATTCGTATTCGCTTAAGCTCGTTCATCACACGAGTACTATAACTAACAAAATGAAAACAAATAGCACAAAGCTTCAATTTTCGGATACCAAAAAACATAGGAATAAAAAAATGAATCCTCAAATGCACAAATCTTTGTTTTACATTCACTTTTTATGTCTTACACAAAATTGTGGGTATTATAAAAATTTAGCAGATGATCACATTTACTACATAATACAATCTCTAACCATATTAAATAATCATAATGGTAATTAAATAATCACTTAAGCAAACATTATAAAATTATAGAAGTATTATTAAATCACAGCTAATCACAAAACCCAAAACAATAACTAACCACAACATTGAACCCATAATCCCAAAAATGGGGTCGGCTACGTAAACCAACAACCTCGAACCCGTAATCCCAATGACGGGTTGCCTACATGAACCAAGATTAAAAATTGAAATAAAAAAAATAAAAAAAAGCACTGACCTTCTCACCTCGCTCGATATATTTAACAGCAACGAGTTCATTAGTAGTTTTATCTCTCATCAACCTAGCAACCCCAAAATTACCCGACCCAATATCTTTCACCAATTCATAACGATCACTGTTATGCATTATCGGCAAATCCGCACTCAAATTCACTCCTCCTCCGCCGCCGCCACCCGCCGCCGTCCGATCCATTTTTACTTTCTCTCTCTTCCCAAATTTCCAACTATACGAAAAAACAATATACTACCATTTTCATCATCTTCTTCATCATAATAATAATAATAATAACTCCCAAAAGAAAAATTAAAAAAAGGGGAAATTTTGTTAGAAAAAGGGGTACGTGTCGAAGATATGAAATCACGTGAAATTTGAAAAGGGTAATTGAAGATTAAAGTAAGAATCCTGTGAATTGCAATTATAAATCCCAAAATTTGCCCCTTTTTAGGAAAAAAAAATGATCACAATTCAGAAATTAGGGTTTTGCAGAGTTAGTTGGGTATTTCACTCGTGATTTTTTTTTTTTTTTTTTTGTGGGGAAATTTAGCAGAAGAAGGAAGACATGGATGGTTGAAGATGATGTTGCCAACCGTTTTTATTTTATTTTTTAAATAAAATTTTGATTTTAGGGAAGTGAATAGCGGGAAATGATGGAGCAACTTTTTGGGGGTGTTATTGTAGGAAACTAGGAATTGAATTAGCGGCTGAATATTAAAGTACGCAACTACTACATGTAATAAAAGCAAGTTGTGGAAGATATTTATGACTGATTTGCCCATGCTTAGATAAGGTTCACAAGTCACCAATTAAAGCTTCTGCCCTCCGTCTCATAAAAGTTTGTATGGCACATTGGCACGTAGTTCTAGAAGGAGTGTGAGGTTGTGTACCCTGTTCAATTTCTCGCATTGATTTGACCTGACTTGATATGATATGAGATATTATGATTTGGCTTTACTTTAATTTTATTAATACGCCAATTATTCGGAAAATAAATTATAAAATAAGATGTTATTATAATTATGTGAGTTTCAAATATGAAAATTACTCGATTATTAGATGTAATATTAATATGATATTGATCAAAGAGAAAAAAAAAAAAAAAGGTGTAGATATAATCTAGTTTCCAAATTAATAATACAATTCAAATGAAAAGTGTGTAACCTCACCCACAAGAAGGGATAAACATTAGTGGTTATAACCTTATAAGAGATCATCAATCACTAGTTATAGTGCGATCAATCGATCATCATTCATCAATCACTTGTTATGAAGAGTTAATTCGCTTGAATATGGGAGAAAAGACTAAAAAAAAAGAGTTATTTTTTTGGTGTTTAGAGAGCCACAAGGGTAAGGGTGAAAATCGATTTCAAGATCTCCTGAAATCGGGAGGGAAGGTCTAACCCCTTGAGATATCCCTCACTCTCAGAAAAGGGAGTTATGAAACAATAAACAAACAATTAATGGATCTAGAAAGCAATTAAACTAGCAAAATTTGGGGACGTTGTACAAAAGAAACCGATTGAATCCTCTACAAGTATCAACAATGTATGAGATCTATTAAATATTTTCTTGTACTTTTGTAGATTTGAATTATTAGAATTGAAATAAAATAATATGGAGGGTGGTCATGTCAAATTCATACCCTCATTAAATGACTCTCAAGACTCAATTAGGCAGGAAATCAAGAGATAAGACCAATTAGGCTGGGAATCAAGAGAAAAAGGGCAATAGGATCAGCATTGAATATGATTGTTGATTCTTTAGACATTTGTAGATTGAAAAGCTTAAAGTTTCTACAACTTTGAAGCAAGTGCTATGCAAATTTAGAAGTACTGACAACTCTTAATGTAAGATGATTCACGCTATGAAACAAAAAATGTCATTCCATAATTTCATCGTAATTGTTCTCTATCAATTATTATGTATAAGACACTACGTAATAATGTATATTTCTTATTTGTATATTGTATTTTGTAAAAATTATATGACGTCTCACATCCGTGTTACATTGTTACCAAATAATCGTCTCATGGTCTCATACAAGTAACACAAACACACTAGTGAAGTAGTGAGTAGTACTAGTGAGTAAGTGACCTTATACGTCCATTGCTTTAAAGTGTTGAAGTGAGTTGAGAGAGCCAGGATAAGAACTGGAAAACTACTAGGCTGAAGCACAAATCAAAACTCAGAAATGCTGTTAGTTAACCTTGGCAAACCACAACAACTCTATCCACTTTCTCTCCTCAACTCTCTTCCTCCTCCTTCAATCCCCAAAATCTCCACTTTCTCTCTCCCCTTCTTCTTCCTCAATCCACCTTCTTCATCACCCCAAAAAAAACCCCTTTCTCTCTCCTCCACGTCACCACCACCATGCCTGAAAACCACCCCACTTACACCCTGCGCTACTTCACCTGGAACTTCCGTCGAACACTTGGTGGGAAAACCCGAAACCGAAACCGAAACAGATAATGATGTGGGTGTTGATTCAAATGAGATAGAATTGCATAATTTTGACATTGAATGGGATAAAAATGGTGGTGAAATGAGGAAGCTTGATATGCAGTTCGAGTCGCCGGTGGTGGAGGTGACAGAATTGGAGGAATTGCCAGAGAATTGGCGACGGTCGAAGATTGCTTGGCTTTGTAAGGAGTTACCTTGTCAAAAACGTCCTACTCAAATTCGACTTCTTGCTGCCCAGAAAAAATGGATGCGGCAACCGGATGCTACTTATATTGCGCATCATTTTCTTCGCATTCGTCTTAATGACGCCGCGTTTTCGGTATGATTTTGTGTTTTCTCTATCTTTAGTTTGAATTTGATGTTGGATTGGTTGTTTATGGACTTTATGTGTTATTATTATGTTTGGAATTTGAATTAGTAGACAAATATTGAGTTAGAGAGTATGGTTTTGGATGATAGAAGCAAAGTTTAGTGATTGAGATGAGAAGGAATCGGTTTGTCGATTGATTAGTTGTTTGTAATAATGGAGATTTGATTGATTATGGTGGGAGTCACACAAAATTAGTTTGATGTTTAGAAATTACGGGCTTTGTCTAGAATAGAATTTTATACCTAAAAGTTAACTCCTAGATAGGGCTATGAAAATTAGATTTTGGACTCGGGTGTCAATGAGCACTTGTGTTCTTTTAGTGTACAAAGTGCATTGTGCATTCGGACATTGAAAGCAAAGTTTAAATTGATGATATCCAACAAAATAGTTAGGGAGAACATTGATGCCTAAAGTTTGCAGCTTTGCTTTATTGGGATCCCTTGAGCAATGGTTGAAATTGAAATAATCCATTTTTGCTAGATATCTTTGTATAGGAGATTGGATTGATTATGGTGAGAGGTCACTCAAAACTAGTTTGATGTTTAAAAATTATGGGGCTTTGGCTAGAATAGAATTCCATTCCCAAAAGTAATCTTGATAAGGCCAAGCAAATTAGATCATGGACATGGGTGCCAATGAGCACTTGTGTGCTGTGTTCTTTTAGTGAATTAGTGTATAAGGACCATTGTGCATTTAGATGATGAAAGCAAATTTTACATGTATGATATCCAACACAATAGTGAGGAAGAATATTGACACCTAAATTACGCTGCTTGCTTTGTTGGCCTCCATTAAGTAGTGGTTGAAACCAAAGTAATCCATTTTTCGCTAGATTAATCTTTGTAACAGAGATTGGATTGATTATGATGAGAGTGACCCAAAACTAGTTTGGTGTTTAGAAATGAAAGGGCTTTGCATAGATAGAGTTTCATACCCTATAGTTAACCTCTAGATAAGGCCACCCAAATTAGATCATGGACATGGTTGCAAATGACCACTTGTGTTCTTTTAGTGCACTAGGAATGTTGTGCTTTTGGATGATGAAAGCAAAGTTTACATTGATATCCAACAAAATAGTGAGTGAGAACATTGATGCCTAAACGTTGCTGCTTTGTTTTGTTGGCCTCTCTTAAGCAGTGGTTGAAACTGAAGTAAACCATTTTTTCTAGATTAATCTTTGCATGGAAGAATGGATTGATTATGGTGAGAGGTGAATCAAAACTAGTTTGATGTTTAGAGATTATAGGGCCTTGGTTAGTATATAATTTCACCCCAATAGTTAAATTGGCGAGGCCGATCGACACTGGTGCCAATGAGCACTCATGCTCTTTTAGTGTACAAGGACTGTTGTGCGTTAGATGATGAGAGCAAAGATTACATTTTTGATATCCAACAAAATAGTGAGGGAGAACATTGATTCCTAACATTTGCTGCATTAATTTATTGGGCTCCCTTACGCTGTGGTAGAAATCAAAGTATTCCAATTTTGCCAGTTTAATTTATGTGTTGGAGGTTGGATTAATTATGGTGATAGGTAACTCAAAACTAGCTTGTTGTTAAGAGATTATAAGCCTTGCCTATAATAGAATTTTATACCCCTTAGTACACTTGCTAATGCCCTTTTCTAGAGGTTTGTCTGCCATCCCTCCTAAAAGTGAAGCAATGGTAATTTCTTATGGCATCACCCTATTGTCAAGTATATGATTGACATATGATACGATTCCTTTTGAATGCAAATGCGATCACTACATAGGCAACCACCCCAGCTTTTCATCTGCTGTTCCCTGGTATGTTTGTAGACTTGCATTTTTTAGGATTGCTCCCCAAAGATAAAAGAACAATCACTTGTAGGCCATTGCTTTAGTTTCTTGTTTGTGAAATGCATTTTAGGTTTTCTAGGTATTTATAGGTAAATTAAGATGAATAATATACGCTGTTATGACTAGTGACTACAAACTTGTGTTCCTTAGACTTTATTCTGTTTTCTGTATGATGTATTTTTTATGCACCTTTTTCTTATATTATATACTCATTAAACATGATAGGTGTACAAGTGGATGATCCAGCAACACTGGTTTCGATTTGATTTTGCTCTGGCTACCAAGCTTGCTGATTGCATTGGTAGAGAGAGGAAGTTTGCAAAATGTCGAGAGATTTATGATGACATAATCAATCAGGGACGGGTACCTAGTGAATCATCATTTCATATCTTGATTGTTGCATATCTCAGTGCCCCAGGTGAGGACTGCCTTAAGGAAGCATGTGAAATTTACTATCGTATGATACATTTAGGAGCATACCGCCCTCGGCTTAGTTTGCATAATGCTCTCTTCAGAGCTCTAATAAGCAAACCTGCTAGTTCTGCGAAGCCGTATCTTAAACAGGCTGAGTTCATTTTTCATAATCTTGCAACCTGTGGATTAGAGATACGTGAGGAAATTTATAGTGGTCTCCTTTGGCTTCATAGTCATCAGGATATCATTGACAAAGAGCGAATATTCTATCTGTTGAAGGAGATGAATCTGAGGAAAATTCCAGAGACCAAAGATACTCTCTTATCCATTCTGAGGGCTTGTTCGAAAGTAGGTGAAGTGGATGAAGCGGAAAAGACCTGGCTTAAGCTTCTACATTGTGATGGTGGTATTTCTCCTCAAGCTTATATGTATAAAATGGGTGTCTATGCTGAGGTTGGGGATCCTCAGAAGTCTTTGGATATATTTAGAGAAATGCAGGAGCAGTGTGGACAGATAAACAATGTGGCATACCAGAAGATCATAGAAATTATGTGTAATAGTCAAGAGGTACAGCTTGCTGAGTCTCTTATGAAAGAGTTTGTTGGGAGTGGTCTAAAGTCTCTTACTGCATCTTATGTGGATCTCCTAAATATGTATTACAAATTAAGCTTACATGATAAAGTTGAGTTCACCTTCTTGGAATGCCTTGACAAATGCCGCCCAAATCGGGCTATTTATGGTATCTACTTAGACTCATTGGTGAAAACTAGCAATATTGAGAAGGCAGAGAGCATCTTCAACCAGATGTTAGAGAATGAGGCTATTGGTGTCAGCAGCAGGTCATGTAATAGCCTTTTAAGCGGGTACCTAGGTTGTGGGGATAACGCGAAGGCTGAAAAACTCTATAGGTTCATGCGCCAGAAGAAATATGAGGTCGAGTCCTCTTTAATGGAGAAGCTGGAGTACCTTTTTACCTCCACCAAATTTTTTTTTGAGAAATATGTGGCCTTGAAACTGACTCCAGAACAAAGAGAGATTTTGGTGGGTTTGCTGCTTGGTGGCTTGCAAATAGAGTATGCAGGGGAAAAAAAGCTACATTTTGTTCATTTTATGTTCAAGGATGATTCTGGTATACATACAATCTTGAAAAGACATATATATAATGAGTTCCACGAATGGCTACAACATTCCAATGGCTCAACAGATGACAGTGATGATATCCCTTCAGAATATTCGACAGTCCCGCATACTTGTTTTGGGTTTTATGCTCATCAGTTCTGGGCAGAAGGAAAACAGAGCATTCCCAAATTAATTCATCGGTGGTTAACACCACGTGTTCTTGCTTACTGGTTTATGTATGGTGGATATACTACACCAAATGGGGATATTTTGTTGAAGGTAAGAGGAAGCAAGGATGATGTGGAGAGGGTGTTTAAAGCATTAAAATCGAAGTCATTGGAGTTCAGGATAAAGCGAAAGGGCAAGGTATTTTGGTTGGGCTTTATGGGAAGCCATACTACTAGCTTTTGGAGACTTATAGAACCTTACCTTCTAAATGACTTACAAGACTTCCTAAAAGCTCATGAACAGCCCTCGGAGAATATAACTGCAGAAAAGTCAAGTATCTGATCTTGTAGCGAGCTTAATTCTGATATGGCTGGAATGCTCATTCTGGTTTTGTGACAGTGATGATCCCTTATCCTCAATATCTTTACTAGATGAGTTTGAGGAGAACTCTTCCGAAGTCATGGCCACATTAATGCATCGTCTTAGAGGCTCTCTGTTTTTTGATACTTGTGTGATCAAAGGGCTGTACATAGTCAAAGGATGTAGAAACTTCAGCTTGTAATTTAGATAGGAGCCAATTAAGCTAACCTATGGTGCTGAACTCGTGTTTTTATAAATGTGCATTTCTTGTACTGTCTCATTTTTTCGTCCTGTGGGAGAAATATAAGGTTGATGTTAAGAGACTAGAGATTGTAGAAAATGTCAAAGACCGAGTCATGGAAACCCTATCTTAGAGATGGGCTCAATTCAATCTTGAAGGGTCTTTTCCCCCATGTACAATGGCAACAATGCATGTAATAAAGCATTAAAATTGCCCAGAGATTGTACAGTTTCAGCTCATCTGTGAGAAGGATTTATCTTCACTCGTCAAAGACCCTGGTAAAATGAGACCTCACGACCTTCTATTCTTCCTTTAGGCTTTATCCAAATGTAAGATCATTCTTGCTTTCGGACAATGTCAGCCAGAGGGATTCTAGATTTCCTGTCTGTGTTACAAGGTCACCACGATGAAGACAAGTTACAGCTAGGTAGTCAATATCATGCTGACTGCCAAGAGAAGAGAAGATGGTCATTCAGATGTTTGGATATGAGCTTTACATGTCTGTAATCCTTATCCACAACAGCATCAGGGAAAACCTCTTAGGGTTTCTCCTATATAAATATCTTACTCTATGACAACAGCAAGTTTGGTATATCAGAGAAATAGAGAGACTATCCCTTTCTGAATCTTCTTATGAACATGTAGTTTGGACCACATTCCACCCCATAGATGCTTGAAATATAGAAATTGGTAGGTTTAGAAGGTTAATTTTAACCTTTAATTGTTACTTGTCATATTATATCAACTTCAATTACTTAATCTTGTCACTTTTGTATACCATGGAATCTTTTGGATTGCTAAAAAAAGAAGTTAGGTATCATTTTACCGTTTTCACCCTTGGGTAATTAGTTCCCATGACTTACATCCAATCAAAAAGCTAACAAGTCTCTCTAGTCTTGTCATAATATTACGATGAAATTGAACCTTGTTAGAATTATAGATTAGATTTAATTATGTCTTCAAGGAGTGTTATTCATGCTCTCCCAACATGCATTATGTGCTCATTAGATTTGTGCATACGTGTAAAATGCACGAGTTAAATAAGGAGCACAATACGTCAATACTCCACTTACAAGAGTAAAAATAGTTTACGAAAAAGATTTGAATGAGAAAAGTACATTTATAAGGTCAAAAGTGTGATATAGAAATGAAGTTAATTTAGGATGCCATACAATCTTATTGAATTGTTGTATTGAAAAGAAAATATTTCATTTTACCTATTTTGTTGTTATGCAATTTGTTACGGAATACGTAGAGTTAGAGTTTGACAAATTACCCTGACCTTGCAAGATTGATGTAAATGTATTGTATATGTGAGAGTTTTATGTTGAACAAAAATTATGTGAGACTGAACGTTACAACAGCTGTTACGTAACTTAAGTCTGAAATTCCGCAATTAAAAATGAAAAGAAAAACATTAATGTCATTATGTTGACAAATTACTCTGACCTTATAAGATTGGTGTACATGAATGTATCATACATGTGTTACGGAATTCATGTGAAAGTGAATGTTATAACGTCTGTTACACAACTCACACCTGAAATCCCATCGTTGAAAATAGAAGGATACAAAAGCTTTTGGGAAAAAAAAATGTAAATTATGTCATGATGTCGAGAGCATTACAACATCTCGCACTTATCCAGCCTACATACTACATGTTGACGCCTGTTATAATTGGCAAGTGTATCCATTATAATTTTGTACATTACAACATCTTACACTGATCCAGCCTACATTAGTATGATATAGCTGACAAGTGTATCCATTATAATTCTGCACATTACTGCATCCACACTTATCCATCCTACATAATACATGTTGATGTCTGATACATCTGACAAATGTATATATCTATTATAATTTTGCATATTACAACATCTCAAACTAATCTAGCCTACTTAATTCATGTTGACGTCTGATACAGCTAGCAAGCGTATTTATTATGATTCTGCACATTACAACATCTCACATTAATTCAGCCTACAGATACATGATGACGTTTGATACAGATGTCAAATGTATCCATTATAATTCTACATGCAAATAAAATACACGAATCCTTTAAATGCAATACTCATAATTCATACACCCAATAATAATTATGATTTGCTTCCTAAATAGAGAGAGATATGGATGAAACAATCACACTTGTGGTTCAAATTGACTACTCTATATAAGACTATGTTCTTCTAAATGAAAACTCCAAGACCTAGCTTTTAGTGAAACATGTTAGTTTACACCACCTTTCGGATCTCCCAATTCCCTTAAACGGGTCAAACTCCATGTCCTAACTTCCATTCTTCCAACACCTAAACCCGACCCCAACTCGACTCCAAACCCAAACCCGAACCCGAATGTTAGTTGCTGCGTTGGTAACTTTGTCATCCAAATTACGCCACCCCCACCACAATTTTTTTTCACTTTTTATAAATCCAAGTGTCAAAGCAAACTCTTCCCCTCTTTATTTTCTCTCTCTCTTACAAATTTCCTTTTCTTCCCTTCTTCTCGAGTTTTGTTAAACGGATCCGGGTCAAATAACCCGAAATGGTATCGGACTCGGAACTAGTGAACCGACTCCGCGAAATCTTACGGACGTCGGACCTTAACACCACCACTCCCGCCGCCGTGCGCCGCCAACTTCAAACCGACTTCGGCGAAGATTTGACTGATCGCAAAAAGTTCATTTCTCAACAAATTGATCAAATTCTTCATGAAGGTGACGTCAATGGCGCCGACGAAGATGAAAATGTGAGTCATCCGCCGGAAGACGGCGGTGACGACGGCGGAGGCGGTGAAGAAGACGGCGAAGAGGCGACGGGAGAAGACGGAAAGGAGGCCGTTGAAGAAGCCGAAGACGAAGACGAGGAAGAGGAAGATGATGAGGAAGATGATGAAGAGGAAGAAAAGAGGTTTGTTGTTTATTTAGTTGATACTAATTTTACTACGTATTTGTTTTTCTTGGTTTTGTAATTTCGGCTAATTTAAAAGAAAGATGATTTTTTGGAATTGTTTGAATTTTATCATGAATTTTTTTTATTAAAAGAATGAAATTATAGCCATAAATTAATAGATTGAATTAGTAGTTGTTTTTTAGGTGAGTGTTTGCTATTGACTGGTTTTGCATGTATGTTCTTATAGTTGATTAGTTATAGTATTGAAGAATTCGTAGTTATTCTTTAAGAGATTGGTGTGTTTGGTAATACTTAGAATATGGTCGACAGTACGATGCGCATCATGCCCCGACGACATGTTCTTTTCATGCATTTGTTTGAATGATACAGTAGTACATTATGAATTGAAATTTTATAATTTGATTGGAATGTGCATTTCAATGGAAATTTATGAAATGTTTGATTTATTGGTCAAAAGGTTAAAATGAGAGAGAAAAGGAAGAGGGAAATGGTAGGGAAGGAATGGAAGAGAGGAGAAGTGAAGGTGGGGGGAGGGATAGAGAAGGAATTGTTGAAATCCTTAGCTTCGAAAACGTTATTTTTTCCACACTTAGGAAAACTATTTTCGACTTAGGCTCTGTTGGTTCGATGGAAAACATTTTCATTGTAAAATGATTTTAATTTCGGGTGGTTACTTGCAAGAAAAGTTGGCGAGATAATGATAAGGGAATATGGAAGGGTTGGATAGATGGGGAGGAGAAAGAGGAAGGTGGTTTTATGTCTTACGAAAAGGAAAATGTTTTATCCCCTTGGGAGACTATATTTCACTATTGGGAAAATTGTTTTTGATTCCAAATAAACCAAACGAAGAACAATAGGAAACCCATTTTCCTGACCTATTCTTGACAAAATTAATTTTTTGCTAAGCAAACCAAATTGAGGAAATGGGATACCAGCTTGCCTAGAAAATGATTTTTCACCCAACTAAAAATAGAATAAGGGTTTTTGGTCTTTTTGATATCTCTAAAAAAAGTTACCTCACTGGGATAACATAGGTAACTGGCTGCAATTTTTAATGCTTTGAAGCATATTGGGGACGAATATAATTTTGTTTCATATGCAACATCTCCTTGATGTATTGTCGCCTTGTCGGTGTTGGTGTGCCAACAATGTAGTCATGAAGACCTCTTTGCCTTTGATTTTTAAATGCAGTTTGCTTTCTGCCATGACAATTTGCCTTTTTCTTTCAATACCTAGGTCCAAGGATGAGGAGACAAAGAAGAAAAGAAAAGGAACCGGTTTTACCAGATTATGTAGTCTTTCCCCTCAACTTCAAGAGTTTGTTGGTGAACCTGAGATGGCTCGAACTGAGGTGATATTCTACTGTTTCTATCATTTCATTTCATGTTAATCAGGGTTGCTAGACTTTCAATGTTTAAACCGTGGATTCTGTATTGCCAAATTTTGTTTGGCTTCAGGTAGTTAAGAAACTCTGGGCATATATTAAAGAGAAGGATTTGCAAGATCCAAATAACAGGCGTAACATAAAATGTGACAAGATGTTGCATTCCATCTTTCGTGTCGATACCATCAACATGTTCCAGATGAATAAAGCTCTCTCCAAGCATATATGGCCGCTCGAGTCAGAGGAAGGTATATATCGCTTGTTTTGTGATCATTTTTCATTGCCATTACTTATGCTGTCGGACCTCATGAATGGAGCTAATTTTAAAGCTCAAAGAACAAGAATTGACTTGTATACATCAAAAGTAAAAAAAAATCCCTATACAGCCTAAGGCTGGATCCTCTGTATAGGCATTGGGGTAATGATGTTGATGTCGATAAAAGATTAGTATGATATGCAAAAGCAGCTCCTAGCTCCAAGAATAATTCTGACTGCATTAGCTCAATCCAGGAACATTATACTTTAAAGTAAAGTGCACTATTTTGGAACATGGTGAATTAGGATGTCTAGTCTTTGCTCTGTCCTCTTTGACGTGGTTTTATTTCTGGTGCCATCACAATGTTGTTTGTCCTGTATGTTGAATAAGGGGTATGTTGGAAGATTTGCCCTTGAAAAAATTGTCTTCTTATTAATGTCAACCTGGATTACTATCTTTAACTACCAAGGAAGAAAGCACATGAAAGACTGCTTCATGAGTTCTTATTACAGTTTATTGCATGTTCTACTGTGCACATGCACACCGTCTGTATTTCTGCATAAAATGGCTGCGAATTTATGTTTCATAATGTGCATTTTGTAAAAAAAGATAATTTGTCAAACTTGCTTGTAATACTTTTTTTCTTAAACTTTTTATTACAGATAGTCCAATTGATAGGCGGCCTCCGGTAAAGAAGCAAAGACGTCAGAAAGACGAAGGTGATACTTTTGAACTATTGATAATAAGCTGCAAATATGTTTGGCAATATCTTGTATTTGGTCAATTTAATTGCTTGCATATGAGGATGAATGATTGCTGTCATGTTGCCTTTTGTATTTACATATTCTCTTTTCTTTTTTCACCCTTTTTTTTTATAACCTCAATTAGATACAGAAAAATCAAAGCCAAAAGCTAAGCAAAAAAAGGGAGGTACTACTGGTTTTCTTATACCCCTACAACTTTCTGAGGCTTTTGTGAAGTTCCTTGGTACTGGTGAAACTACCCTTAGTAGGTCAGACGCTGTCAAGAGGATTTGGGACTATATAAAGCAAAATCAGCTCCAGGTATGGTGTTGCTTGCCTAAACTATTCAATGAAACTCATACATTCCTTTCATTTTCTCCTTCGTTTTCCTTTTTGGGGTGAGGGGTTGGTGTTGGTGTCATTAACTTGTATAACTTGAAGATGTTTTGCTCACATAATGAAAACAAGTGCGAAAATGCCTGATAATGTTTCTTTGAATGTGCCCTTCCGTTCGTGCTGCAGCATACTTTCAACTTCAACCCCAGAGCAACTTGCAGCTCTTACATATGAGGCTTTATCCAGTACTCGTAAAATTACTCCTTGGTTCTTATAATAGATGTCAATATCTCCTTTTTTGAATGTCTCTAAAAGTAGTCAAATCAAAACATGTAATGTGCACAATATTTGATGGTTAGTCAAAAGTAAGAAAAAGGGTAGGAAGCTATAGTGTGATGATATTCTCTTGAAACTTTTCTATTACTGAATTTGAAAACTATATAGGACAAAGCAAGTGCAATTCATTTTAGCCTGGTTGCCTGTGTATCCTCTTATATTTCAATTGTTGATTTGCTTCTTCATGCTTTATGATTCTATCATCCATGTCACTAATAGTTATGTAATGTGTTATTGTTGACAAGAGAATTTCTACCTCTAAGCTTGACTCTTCTTTAGAATATAGCAATTTATTAAAATGATTTTGGGCCTTCTTGAAAAGCATTGGCAATCTCTGCTAGTCTAAGTTGGTCAAGGGTAAAGCTGTATACTTTTTTACTCTATCCACATTGCCACATTTGTGGTCTTTTGTTCTTATTCTTGAATCTCAATGTCCATAAGGTACATACACTGACAAGTGACAACTGCAACTAATTTGCTTTCACTAAAGTTGAAGAGGCCACCAAAACATATGCTTAGGAATATGAAAGGCAAACCAAACTACTTGAACCTTCTTAGGCCTGTTGTGTTCAACTTATATACCCCTATTTCAGGAAAGTTAAGTTTGGATAAAGGTTAATAAGTTCAGATAAGTTCGGAAAGGGTTAATAAGGGTTACCCAAGTTCAATTTACAACTAAAGTAAGTTTTAATAAGGTCCAATTAGTTCAGTTAAGTTCAACTAAGTTCAGAATAGTGAAAATCAGGTGATTAGAACACACCCTTACTTTGTGTGAAGTACAGGTCACCCATGACTTTTGGAAAGAGAAACAAGATCATAGACAATGTACAACTCTGTAGCTCAACAAAGGTGAGACCCTCTTAGAATGCAGTAAGATTTAAGCTATGATACTAGAGTTTCCCACCATAAGTTTAGAGTTCACAAACATTTTATTTCTACTAGTTGTTCTGTGGCAACTAACTGTAGAATCATGTTCAGTCTTATGTCTAAGAACTATTTCAAACTGGTGCATATTTAGACCTTATGTTTGCACATAAAGAAGTGTTTATTTCAAAGAAAGTCTGCTACTTTATTTGTCTTTTAAATTTGGAAGCTCCTCAAGGACCTCAACTCCTCAAGTATATGGTTTCAGCTTATATAGTTGGGCATGCTCACCTAGATTTTATTTCAACTGAAATGATAGTAGGAGTTGAGCTCATTATGCCCATCCTTTCCACTACATGAAACTGAACAGTGTTGGAATTTAAGCTTTTGGATTGACACATTTGACAGTGCTTTTTTTGCATGTCTAAACTCTCCCATATTAGTATGCATTTTTTAACTCCATTGTCCTCTTACCATGACTATCTACTACAGTTTTTCAAACTACAAGTTATATGGAGTAGCATAGTGGGTTGATCGTAGTTGCACCTATCCAAACAAAAATTGCATGTAGAGTGTTGTTTCTTCTTCGATCCTTTTTTGGAAACTTGTTTGCTTTTGTGAAACTTGCATCGAGATATTATAGGGCTTCATTTAGTTATTTTTTAAGTCTTTGCATATTAACTTTTTCTCACATGGTCTTTAACTTACTATAAATGTTCTCACATCCATACTCTTCTTCTGTATTCTTGTCATAGCTATTTAACAAAATTAAGTGCTAATGTACAGTCCAAGCTAGGTGTCTGATTTTCTTTTCTATGATCTTTATTATATGAGCTAAAGTTTATTTCTGTGAATTTTAAGTATTAGCATCACAAGGTATAGAATCTATTCACAAATTTTCTGCTGGGGAAGACCACCTCTTGAAACAATCTTTTTACTAAATGTATGTTATTAGGCCTTGAGGGTGAAATTGTGAACATCAAGACATCCTTAGTATCTATCTAACTGTTGCTGGAACTGACCATTGTAGCAGATTCTTCATAATATGCTTCCAATAATCTTGCTCAATAGTATGATTTCTTTTTTCCCATCCTGATTAGGAGATTTGTAGCTCACTTCAAAAGTTGGGGTTTGGGGAAATTCTTGGTCTTTAACCGTCTTTCTGATTTCCTAGGCTTATCTAACAGAATACCATCATACCTCTGGAATATTCTTAGTTACTTGGTTGCCCATTTCTTAAGTTGTAATTTTAAAGTTTTGGCCCACGGCATGCCTGACCAACACTACTGCTCTTATGTTTTGAAGGACCCTTCTGATAAGAGGAGAATTTTGTGTGATGAAAAGCTAAAGGAACTATTTGACGTGGATTTTTTCAACGGATTTTCGGTCTCAAAGTATCTAACTGCTCATTTGACCAAAGTAGAGCAATGAGCAGAGTGGCTAGTGTTGGAACTTGGAAGTAGCTCACCCTGCAATGTAGGTGAGCAATTTTGTGGAAGTGCAGCATACCGTGTATACAATTTGAAAAGCAGTAGTGGAATGCAGGTTCGGTAGGATAGTTAACAGTTTGTATTTTTCCTTTTCTGACCCGCTTGACCTTCATGGATGTAATTAGCCTTTTTTAGTTTAATACAAGTGCCTTTGTACCTGTTAGTTTTGTAATGAAGCTGAACTGTGACTCCGTTTTGCATTTTCATGAATCAATTACCATTAGCAGGATAAGTTAGCTAAGCTAGGGTTTTACTCTGCTCAAGTGCCTACCCCCCAAGCCAAGTGCCCCAAGATACCCTTCAGTCTTGTCAAAGTTGTTTGAAATGTCAGTTAATTGTCGATCCTAGCTCATGTGCCCTACCTCTCTACCAGGGCCTTGGCCATGCATGGTCTAAATGGCTTTGTGTCGTGTCGTCCATACAACCTGCTGGCTTAGCAAACCCTCACCTGAGTAGACTGTCTGCAATCGCCTGAGACACTGCCCAACCCTCATGCTTGTCTCTTTGGGTTACTCCGATTATATTTTGACCCTGCAGTTTTTATAGGAGATTCTAAGATAAGCCCTAAATAGAGAAAAACACTTTGTTACATATAGAGAACCAACTATTTGAGTTATATTGACTGAAATCTATGCTCCGAATATATTTTATTATTTTTCTTTTGTAATATACTTCGTATTATATAAACTAGATAATTTTTGTGTATTATACTTTAATAAATAAAATTAATGCTGGTCCATGGGCCGAGCCAAAATCGTGTGAGGACATGCCATGCTGTATGTTGGCTTAGCCAGTTAGCCTAGTAGACTTGTACCGTCAAAGGAAATGCTTGGACTAAACTGTGGCGAAGCCATAACTTAAGGCCTTCTGTAAGAACCACATTGTTGATATTGCCCTTTCTTTGGGCCAAATTGGAAATGGATCTGTGAATGTGGTACAATTGGGCCTGGTCTAAACAACGCCCATATTCCTCTAAGCGTCTTTTTAACATACAGTACTTTTATTTTAAAAAAAAACAAGAGGTACATAGAAGTTAGAAGTTAGAATAGTCTTCTATCGGAACTTAAACCCAACTTATCATTTTCTACTTATTTGATGATTGTTTTTAATTTCGTTTAGTGGGAATTTGTTTGATTTTGTAGGATAGGGAGCAAGTAGAAAGTATTACTAGATTATAAGAGCTAATAAACATAATTTATCTATTTACCAGTTTTTATATATTATTATCCATGAGACCATGACTTTGTCTAAGGTTGGCACCATGAGCTTGCTAGGATAAAGAGTGTGACCTTGCTGGTTTTTGCTTTCTGTTTCTTTATAATTATTATTAATTACCTAGAACTCTAACTACTACCAAATCTATCTTTGTCAAACACTTTTTTTAACCTAATATTTTTAAATTTTGATTTAGTCAAATTATAAAATCTATGGAGTGTTTAAAAAGTCAGTGGCAGATTTAGCTTTTCTCTACACTTGATTTTAGCTAAACTTAATTTTTTTACTAAATAAAATATATTGTATATTTGTTGATTCGTGTTAATTGGCCGCAACACCCTGAAGTATGGCTTAGGTGCACTGAACACCCTGAACTTTACGTAGTAGCCAAAGCACCACCAACTATGGTGGTAGGTGCGACGCGTGCTTTAAATGAAAATTTCCGGCCAATTTTGCCAATATTCTTTAAAGTAATGGATAAAAACAGTGTTAACTAATTAAAAATTTACTTTGTTGATTAAAATAAATTTTTATTGATCGAAACTTAATTTTAAATCAATTTTATGTTGATTTGAATCTCATTTTAAAGTTAGATCATATTCGATAATATTGTTATATTGTTGAATATAAATGTTACGGTATATTTTTAATTAATCAGGTAAGATCAATTTCGACTTAACAAAAACCTTCTCAAGGAATAGGTTAACACCAATTTTGTACAGTAGGTAAAGTTGTGAAAGAAAGATAAGTTTAGGAGAAGGAATCTTGAAGAAGGGTATGCAATGAACCGATTCTCCAAATTCTGGCATGTTCATATGAAATAGAATCAGCCGACACCTCCACATTTACCTGAAAATTGCCTTCTTTTCTCTCTCCTTTTTTTCTTAGTCAAACTGTCACAATTTCATATTCTCTTCGTCCACCAATTTTTAGATTGTCCTTCCCTTTATTTATTTATTTATTTATTTATGGCATTATTTGGAGTGTATTTCAACCCTTCCTTCCACAGTACACACTTCAACCCTTTGTAATATAACTATTCAATGTAGCCTAAGGCTAAATACTCAGCTTTAAGCCTTTAAGTATAAGTTATTTGGTTTGGATCATACTTGGATGGCGTGTTATATTAATCAATTTGAAGTTGGAATCTGTTTGAATCTTGTAATATTGTTGTATGAAGTAAGCCATTCGTCTCATAATACAAAGCCTATTTTTCTTTTTAGGTAAACCAAAATACAATGTTTGTTTCTATTTAAAAGTTGTACTTTTTGACATTATTACCCTTTTTTTTATTAATGTTTTTTTTTTTTTTTTTTTTTACTTTTGACATCAATTTTCAACACTTTCTCTCTCTATCTTTTCAATTATCTCCAACTGCTTTTTCTTTCTTTCTATCTCTCTTTAACCCTACATGCACATATGTAATCATTAGTTTTAAGGAATTTACAACTTTCTTAATTTCTGTAAAAAAACTCAAATAGGCTTTGTATTGTGAGTAGTACTTTTATTATTTTTAAAGTTAATGTTTATCGCCTAATTCCATCTATTTGTGGAATATACTTATCAATATATCATTTGTAAGTACAATGTATGAAATATGATAAATTTTCATTAGGTTAATCCTCGTAAAAAGAAGGGATTTTTGATGAGTCAATAAGGTTTAAACCAATTAGTAATAGATAGAGTAGCTCATCAAACTAGCGTAGTATGACTCGATCAGAAGGTTTGCTTGAGAAGACGGGACATTATGTTATTATCGATTTTTTTTTTCCATAATTAATGTTGAAAAAGTGAAAAACAAAGACATTAATAATTAGGTTAGGAGTAGTAGTTAGTACACCTTTATGATTTAGAAAGATTCCATTTAAACAAGAAAGAAATAGAAAGAAGGACAAAAGGTACCATGAAGAGGGCCCAATTCATGAAAATTCCATGAATATATCAACTTATCGTCACGTGTAAGATGCTTTTCTCTCGTTTGCTAAAATGCTTACGGCGCCTTTAACTGTCCTTTTCTATTTCGTAATCCAAACTGTAGGTTTTTATGCGTCACTATTTATTCTCTTCCCCTTTTTATTTTATTTTTTAGAATCCAAAAATATTTTTTTTGATTCGCATAAAATTTTCTTACTACATCAAGTAAAGAAAAACTTGCGTTGTTCATTGAATCTTTGCCTAGATATTTCCAACTACAACTATGGAGTATATCATAATTCATACCATCCATTATAAAGACATAATTTCGATTGTTTGATTTTATTTGCCAATTATTAGACACATTTAAAATGATGAGACAAATAATAGCAAATGTTGTTTCATTTTAAGACAAACTAGTGGTATAAATAAATATTTGTATACTACGTATTGCCTTTCATTCTAATAAGATTGCTTCATATTCCTTTTAAAAATATCCTATTGAGTTTGTCCTATACCATACATATTGTCATTTTTACTTGTAATGGAAAGAAACAATAATTATTTGTATATTGAGTTAACATATGAATAGATATATAAATTACATTTACTAATTGCAAAGATTTTGATAGCACGAATTTCAATAAACTATAAATTACATAAAAAAAAAAAAATTACATTCAATATCGCCTGTAGAAGACACTTGTTCCTTGTCTATGGAGTAACATACTTAGATTGATGTTTAATTAATTAATTAATTTATTTATTTATTTTTGACATAATACATTGATTGATGATGGACAAAAATTCAACTCAAACAAAACAGGCATTACGTTATTCACTAGACAATTAACTGTTTTCCTAAGTAAGTTTGCAAGCCAAAAGTCTGCTATACATTTTTTTCAATTTTATTTATGATTACATTAAAATGATGATGTTAGTGATCCGACTATAGAATTAACTCAACTTGTACATGAGTTTATTCTTTTAATATTAAACACAAACTTTTATAATATTACACGTAAACACAACGGTTATACCTTTATACCGTTATACGTTCGTAGACACCATAGTACAGGCTAGTATAAAACTATATAAGGAGTAAAATTGTTGCCGACTTGCCGGTTGCCGGTTGCCACATTCTTGTTGCCATACCAAAATAAAAATTCATTGTTTAGAGTTGCACCTTGTTATACTCCCATCCAACCAGCAGTAAATGTAAAATAGAATTACCCAAGAATCCAATAATAGAGATTCTCTGTGGCAAACGAATTCAACAGCTTTTGGATGATTCTTCAAACTGTACTTTTTTTTAATTGTATTTATTAATTTAAAGTGTCACAAATAAAAATTCTTTTGAAAATTGTAGGAAAGCGAGGTGGTAATAATGCTTCATACTAGAAAACATTTCATGGTGGTACACTTCTGAGAACAACACACTACACAAAGATACCCTTTTTTTTTTTGTTTTTTTTTTTTTGGGTAATTGTTCTTGGATTCCTTTATGCTGTATGCCAAAAGATGCTCATCTAATAATGACTTCTCAATATACGTCCAATTTGAGTAATTTGTACACTTTGCACTCTTTTTTATTTTTTATTTTTTTTCATCAATCAATTTGCTTATTCTTTCAATTATAAATTATGTACAATCAATTTAATTAATACTTGTATAGTTTTGACATGCCACACTATGGCCCATATATGAAGTACTAATCATAAGTTACAATATGATTACCTATAAACAGCAAAGGGTTATATGTGTGTATCTACTAAAAGAGATTGCTACTTTTTTTTTTTAAACGACTATCACGAGCATTACTTTAAGGGATGTCATGCTTTTCTTAAAAAGCTTAAATACGATACTGAGTATTATATACTTCTATTTCATATTGTGATGTAAATGTTTCTTTCTTTCTTTCTTTTTTTTTTAAAAAAATTTTTTAAAAAAAGGTTCCAATATATACAAGACTGTTTCTCATATAAAATGCTTAAAGGCGATGAAATCTCCAAATTACACCCCTTTTACGGTAAATTCCCCTTTACTTGGTCTCCCACTTTAGCAAGTTAATTGAACCATTATTACGAAACAACTAATTAATTGAGTTTAATAATTAGCGGTTCTATCATCCATATATCACCAATTATGAAACTTAATTTGTGACCGAGGGGGTATAAATTTAAGAGTTGTAAACCATCCACCCAAGTATATATAGAGTCTGAGATTTTGTTATCTTCTTTGGAGTTATTATTATTCCAGTCTTCTCCAAAAAGAGTCAAAGTAGAAACAAGTGCTTTAATTTGTGCTTAAACTCAGATCAGTTCTTTCATAAGGCCAAACAACTAAGAATTAGTTCAATAAACAACTTTTCATTGACCTAAAAGCTAATCTATCAACTATTATCCAATAGTTTGTTGATTTGTACATAACTAAATAACAATCAACAATAAATTTTTTTATACAAACTACTCGTAGTAATAAAAACAATTCAAAATGAATTGGATGGTCCTAATAAGGTGATCTTAATAATATACAATATACGAAAGACAATAATAATACAAGTAATAACTTGGTCTTCATAATTATATAGTACAAAAAAATAATTAAATATAACAAAAGGCGGTTAATCAAAGATTACTTTGCGGCTAGATTATATTCTGTCAAAATTAGTAAATGTTAATCCATATTTTATTTCTTTTGACCAAAAATCGCCAGATGTATGGAGTAGGAGCAGCCAACCAAGAACGTACAAATACAAAATATATTAATAAAATGAATTTGAAAAAAAAAGAACAAATAATAATTGTAATAATAAATTGATTGGTTAGTCTTTAAGCAAGAAAAAATACATTAAAAATAAAAATAAATAAAGGTGAGGAGATTCTGATCTTATGAAGAAGTGGGGAATCAGATGGCTGGAAAAAGGGTTGTCGGGTTATGAAAATTGGGTGTATTTGATTGAAAGGGAAGCATCTTCATTTATTCATTCATTCATTGTCTTTTTTTTCTCTTCTATCTTCTTGAATGAATGTGTAGAATTTTGGAAAGATTAATTAATTAAGTAACCCCACACTATCTTAGATTCCTTATCTCTAACTCTCTTATCTATTCATCACTCTATCCCTATTTATTTACCTCATTTTAACTTTTTTACGTTATTTCAAACGCATTTTAAAACGTAAATATATCTCTATTTTAATACAAGTAAAAATTATAAAAACTTGATATTAATAAAATATACAATAATGAGATGAAATTATGGCCAAAGTCTCATACTAGTAAAAGTTATGATTGCTTATGAATATGTCGTCCAAACTCAACATACAATTAAAAAAAAAAAATCTAATAAATTCATATAAGTTCAGGTGAATAAAAAACAATCTCAATTGAGTGGAGTGATGGTATAAAAGAAGCATGATAATTTAGGTAAATGATTGTTTTAATGGCTAATCTATACTTCATAACTATTACCACTTATACATTGACCTAGGAATTTGAACATATAATATTATAGTGGGCTAAGAAATTAGTAAAAAGGAATGAAGACTTTGACTTTAGAATTGCAGGCCAATTCATGTTCTATGTAATTAAGAATAAATTTGACTGCTTAGATATTAATTATTATTAATCTAATTCAAGAAAATCTGCAAAACATGGACCAACTAGGATTATTGATCGAGTGCTTGATAATCCAACTTAACCCCATCATGTGCAATACTTTTTTTTTTTTTTTTGAAATCATGTGCAATACATTATTACTACATAAATTAGCCAAAAGATTTTATTTATACCTTTAGCTCGTGTCCTTATTTTTCTTATTAATTAATATTTTTTTTAAGATTGTCCAAGTCAGGTAGATTATCTCAATGTTTACTAATCAATCAGTTTAGTGATAATATAGAAAAATATAATGGGAGGAAAGAGTTGATACAGCTAACAGGTAACAATCACTTACAAAGTTACAAGTAAAATGCAATTAACAAAAGATTTTTTTTAATAATAGTTTTAACTTTTTTTTTTTTTTTAAAAAAAAAACACTAGCAAGGATGTATTAATTCACAATAATAGTTTTACTAAAATACTTAAGTTTTTAAAATATAACCCTCTAGTTACAGAAAAAATCCTAGCCTCTTTTTCTATCTTCTCTCTCCTAAACTTTAGCCTCCATTGTAAATTTTAAAGGGGCTTCTATCAGATTTTTACTGGTGAAAGCCTCAATCGTTTGTTTCTTTTAAGTTTCTTTTAATTCTTAGGTTATAATAATGTCTCCTTCGAAAAAAAGGGTTTATCTTTGTCGAAGGACAAGGTTTTTTCGATCTCCTTCGAAAGAAAAGTTTTTTCGAACTCCTTCAAAAGACAAGGTGTTATTTGCGTTTAATAGGGTCTCCAGTTTTACGGGGCTACGATTGATTATTGCTCGAATTCGAGTAGCAAAATCATCATAAGAAATTTTTTCCTCACAAAACATTGAAGAGCCGACGGATCCACTCAAAAAGTTGTATGAGACAACGAATTGAGAATATGCCGAATTGTTATATCTATGTATTTGGATTCTTAGCACTTCTCCGATTAATTATTGTTTGATTTTGTTAAATATGTTTTCATTATCATTATTTATCAATTATAGATGTCGTATGACTTTAATTAATGAATTTTAGTGTCCTTTTGGACTTCTTTCAAAAAAAAAAAAAAGAATACTTAAGTTTTTAGGAAGGTGATTAAAAAAAAAGGTAAGATTTTAGCTAGGCTTTGATGAATTAAAAGTTAACAAATCAGTGCTGGGTATGACAGGGCCTACATTGTATCCACACTTTTAGCCCAATGGACCTCTCATGTGAGGGGATATGATAGAGTGTAAAACCTATTTCTTGACGTCAACCATACAACATTTTTATCTCGTCACGAATCTCTTCCTTAATTACTTTCCCATGTAGTGAGTTGCACGCATGTTAAAAAAAAATGAATCCCATGAGATTTGATTCTTAAGAGTTTGTTTCGACTGTTTGTTTCATATTATTTCATCTTATTTTATTTTATTTTAGAAAAAAAAGTTCAGAACTAATAAAATAAAATAAATGATTGAATATTTTTTTTTATATATACATAAAAAGATTGATTCACAAATAAAAATTCATATGATATTTACAAAGAGATTTAAATATAACGAGAACTTGACAATTGAATTCAAAAAAAAATATTCTTTCAACAAAGCTATGATCGTTGTTGCAAATCGTACATTTTTCATACTCTCTTTCATTAGGTGTCCTATCAATCTGTTGTAGCTGTGAAATTATTCTCATTCGATTAATCTGTTTATAAGTGAAGGACCCCATTAAAATCTTCATCCATAAAACAACTTGTATTATATTAATCTTATTTTTTTTTGACATGAAGAAGAATATTATCATTATTAAATAGCCACACAACATCTACAATAATAATAAAGATTTGTAAACCACATATTTAGAGAAAATAACATAACTTTTACTATCAAAATCATAACTATTTTGCATATCTGACATAACTCACACTCCACTGCTTCAAACTTGACGCAAGCAGTGATTTTCGATGGTTTTCACATCTTTTCAAATATAGACCTTCGCAATTTATAGAGTTGATGACAAACCCTAAACCAATATGAATCCAAATCTCACACAACTAGACTTGAACAAAACATGAAGTAAAGGAGAAAGGGTCGGAAATAGTCATACTCGACCTAGAAATTAGAAAACGCTAATTAGAGGAGCCCTAAATTATAAAATAAGTCAAACAAGTTAAGTTCAAAATATTCAAGTAAAATAAGCAAACAAAATAAAAAACCGAATAAGTTTATATATAATAAGATAGTATAATTAAAAAAAAAAATCACGATAATTGTTTTTTACCACAAAAATCTCTGAAACTTTAATTTTACCACAAAAAAAAATCTAAAAATTGTTTTTCACCACTTGTTGTCAAGAAAACCGTTAAATTAATGGTTTTTCAAAAAATTATTCGATTTTCGTGCCAAATCATGCTTTTATAGGTTGTGAGAGTCATTTTGAGTCCGATTTGAGGTCAGAACTGGCAAAAAAATCGTAAATGTCTAGTTTTCCGTGTTTCACGCAAATCCAAGTTTTTTTAGTAGGCATAATGAGACATTTACGATAACTTTTTGTCAATTCTGACCTCAAATTGGACGCAAAGGGCCAAAATGACTACCTAAATCATTAAAGAATTTTTAAAATTCCGTTAGATATAATAGTTTTTTTTTAACGGCAAGGGGTGAATAACAATTTTTTTTTTTTTTTTTTTGTGGTAAAATAAAACTTTGAAAAGTTTTGGTGGTATAAAACAATTTCGTGATTTTTTTGGTGGTAAAAGTCAAAATTTCCTAAAAAAAACCAGAGATAAAGAGAGTCTAATCTCATACAGCTAAGATGGAGGGTGATACCACACCATTTTGACCTCAACTTATAATTACTACACCAAACGAAAACAATGCTTATCGGGTTAAATGAGGTTAAGTAATTTAGGGTTAAATATAGACTTCAGGCCTAACGATGGGGTTCAATTTTGCTAACCCTAACAAGTAACAAGAGTATTGGGCTTATTACGTGAGGAGTATGACAACCAAAATGGATATGTCTTGTAATAGAAGAATAAAATAATACTTCTATAGAAATCCAAATCCAAAAAAGAAATAAATGAAAGAAGAAGAAAAAAAAAAAAACGAAAACGCAATCCTGGTGTGTGAAAAATCGCCGATGCACCAAAACAGAATCTTCGCATTTCAATCCAACTTTCCAGCTTTTTCCCTAAACCACTCCTCTGCTCCCTTCATTTCATTTTATTTTTAATTTCAATTCAATTTTCTCTCTCCTCTTGATTCCATTTCTTGTCTTTCTCTCTCCTCTATTTATCACCGTCACTATCCCTTTCCTCCATTTCTGTACTTTAGCTTTTCATTCACTGAATCATAAATTTCATATTTCTCACCATTTTTATTATTATTTTTTTATTTCCCAAAAAAATTGAAGGAAAATAAATAATGGGGTTGGTATGTCCTGAGCTGAGTTTAGATTTGAAACCGAGTTATGTTTCTGAAACGATTAATGGGTTTCTTAGTGAAGTTTCGATGATCGGTGATGTTTCTGAAAGATTAAATAAGGTTGATGGATTTGTCACCCAATTAGAAGCTGAATTAAACAAGATTGAAGTTTTTAAACGAGAACTTCCTCTTTGCATGCTTCTCTTAAAAGAGGGTGGGTTTTTATTTTAATCCGATTTGTGTTTTTATTTTATTCGGATGTAAATGATGTAGACGGGTTTTGATCCGGACTTTCTGGTACCCGTGTTAAGACTTTAACTTACTAAGCGAGTTTGTGTATCGTATTAAAATGGGTGGGATTTCATTGAAATGGGTTCCTTTTAATTCATATAATTTCTTGTGTGTGTGTTTTTGATTTTTTTCTGGGTTTGATAAATGTGGCTTAAAGCTGGAATTTTGTTGTTGTTGTTGTTATTGTTACAGTTTTTGTCTAATTTTGTTATTTTAGCTAAATATTGTTTTTAATGTTATTAAGCTGAAATTGATGAAGATTATGATTTTGTGCAGCAATTTCATATTTAAAGCAAGAATCATCACAATACAAAACAAGAAATGCTCATCAACCAGTTTTGGAAGAGTTTATTCCATTGAAAAAAGAGGCTGAAAACACTGAATTGAACAAAACAAGTGAGGATGATTCTGGGAAAGATAAGAAGAATTGGATGAGCTCTGTTCAACTATGGAATTCGCCTCACTTGATTCGCAATTCGAATTCAAACCAAGTCCAAAACCATGTTTCCGAATCACCAAAGGTAGCATTATCTTCGAATTCTATGCAATTTGGTTATACTTATATAATTATGATCATAGATTAATTGATTGATTTGGGATTATATATTGATTAGATTATTATGTGTTTGCAGGAAGATGAGAAAAAAAATCAAAATTTGGGGGGTGAAATACATGATCTTAGTAAAATTAGGGGAGGATCAAAAGGGTTTGTTCCCTTAGTTCATGGTAATTACCCTACTAGTAATTTCCCTGAGTTAAGAAGGAAAGTGGATAAGGAGGATGTAAGTGTTTCAGGACTTACTTTGGTGGTTCCTGGAATGATCAATCATCCGGAAGAGGATTCGATTTCTAGGGTGTTTAATCCTAAATTAGGGAGCACCCGGGTTTCGAATTCGTCTCCCCCTGCTTCCATTGGACGGCCTTCCCATCAGCAGCCGTCTGCTCGGAAGCAGAGGAGATGTTGGTCACCTGAATTGCATAGGAGATTTGTTGATGCCTTGACACAACTTGGTGGTCCACAAGGTAGTATAACTTCTCCATTCATGTGTGATGTTAAGACTGTTTTCATAAGAATGAGGTTTTTCAAAATCATTTGCTAGGGTATTATGTTAATTTTTTGTGTTAATTTGTATTGGTGTCTTTGTTTCTTTTGAATTTGGGATTGGATTATTTTTAGTTCTTGGCTTCCTTCATCTTGTATAGAATGTTAACTGTAATTTGTGATTAGCATAGTAATTTTTGTTTAGAAAGTGGAATTCAATTGGTTGAACCATTTGATTTTCTAGTCATTGTTGATTGTGGCAAAGACCTTGCATTAATGTGTGATTGTGACTATCTGATTGCAGTGGCAACTCCGAAACAAATTCGTGAGCTGATGAGGGTGGATGGGCTAACAAATGATGAAGTTAAGAGCCATTTGCAAGTGAGTTTCGAACCCTTTTTGTATAGTTTTTGATAATCTCTGTTGATGTCTTGTTGAGCAGATCACTAAGATGCTGTCTAACTGTCTCTCCTACAATGTGCAGAAATACAGGCTTCATACTAGACGAGTCCCGAATGATTCAGGGAACAAAAACGAGCAGGCCATGAGTGGTTCGTGGACAGCTCAGGACCAATACAGCGAATCCTCGAAGCCAAGCAGCTCGCAGTCTGCCTCACCCGAGGGTCCTCTACAGTTTCCAGGGCTTACAGGGTGTACCTCAACCACTGGAGGTGATAGCATGGACGAAGAAGATGATGATAAATCCGAAACCCATAGCTGGAAAGGTCATGCCCATAAAACAGGAAAGGATGATGTATAGTAAATGTATAACAACTACTACTAGATCAAGTTTTGGCAGATATAATTATACATGGAGAATTCCGTACAAGAACGAACATAGTACTTTAAGTTGATTATTACTACAGCCTAATAACCTGGGTTCGAGTTTATACTTGATAGAGGGCAATCTGGGATGGACTGATGAATTTTTGCAGGATTAGGAGTGTAGTTCCCTTGGATCTTGACTCTGTATCTTCTTGAGTCATTGTTTTTAGTCTTTGTAATTGTGCCGGCTTAATTTTCAAGATCCAGGTGCGAACTAGAGAGTTTAGTGTGAAACAGAATATTTTGGTGGGGGGGTTTGGGGCTGCTAAGGCGCGCATCATGCGTTGTTGAAGTATTTTACAAGTATAGATCAAACTTTTTGCTCATCTGTATGATGCTTTATTCTGTTTCACACCGACGGTGTAATTCAAACCAAGAATGTGACAACTAAAGGCTTGTTTGACATTGTTTTTTTTTTTTAGTTTTCTGTTTTTTTTAAAACAAAAAACTTAAATCAAGAAATAAGAAAAAAGTGTTTTTACTTTGTTGTCAGTTTTTAAAATTATCGTGATTTTAATAAGTGACTAATTTTTATTCATTATATGATATATATCATATGATTTTGAAAAGCAAACAATCAAAACAAGAAAACCACAGTAAGAGCACTCCCAGCAGTGAGGAGAAAAGCCCTCACGAGTAAAAATAAGGGTGTAAAAAAAAAAATCCGAACACTGCATCAGTGAGTGAAAAAAAAACACTCACCGATGAGTGAAAATAAAAACCCTCAAGAGTTGAGGGCTTTTGGTGATGAACAGTAACATGTGGCCCCCACTGCTTTTGTTGTTTTTTTACAACGGTTATATTTTGTATTTGAAATATAACCGTTGTAATTATTTTAAAAAAAAAAAAAAATTCACCAACGACCATAAAATGTTTTTCTCTATAAATAGACATGCATTTTGATATACTTTCAAAAAAACCCATAAATTAGAGAAATTAACATATTTTCCCAATTTCTTCTTGTTATTATTATTATTATAATTATTTCTTATAAAAAAAATTTCCAGTTAGTATTATTAATATTTTTAACGTAATTATAAATTTTTATTAAATTATTTTTAAACGTAATTAAAAAATAAATTAAAAAATAGTGGAGGAGAAAGTGATGAGAGGTTTTTTTTCTCCTCATTGCCGTGGTGAAAAAAACATTTGATGAGAGAAATTGTATGGGAGGAGTGAGAAAGTGGGTAGAAAGAGATTGAGAGGTTTTTTTTTCCTCACTGCTGAGAATGGTCTAATACCAAATAAACCTTAAGTTTGGATATACTCGTACAACACTTGTTATATTTTCCGCGTAAATTAACAATAATTACTCAAAATGGGATCTAGATAGTTTTCTATAGATTATGTCAGATATTCTGTGCAATGGTATATTGGTTGATGTCAATTCTGGTTGATAAAAAAGGAGTTGTAGCCAATAGGAGATTGCCATGAGGTCCATGATGCGTGATAGTGCACTTGTTGGCGTGAAATAGGTGGAATAGAATTGGACGATTTTTAAAGGTTGACTATCTACAGTTGACACCTGTAATTTTTTAATTTGAGTTAGATAGAATCCCTGTTTTTGCTACAGTAGTATCTTCAAAGTCGGAAGACTAATAGGTAACCCATAGAATTATAAATTACTTTCCTTCGTTTTTAAATATTATCTCCTTTTATTATTATTATTTGTAACATTTACTAAAATTAGGCGCTTTCTATCATTTGCAACAAACTTTTTTATTTTCTTTTTTAGTAACTTTTTGCCAACAAAATGCCCATATTACCCTTACTTAAACAACTTAGACATCTAATTAAATCACTAACCTAGTTTAACTTTTTACCTGATAAATCTGATTATTGTAATCATTTTCACCAAAAATCATTCATCTTCCCACTTTCTCTGGTTTCCCCAATTTTCTTCCTGCTTCAATTTTCTCTCTCCTCTACATTTTCTTCTTCTTCTTCACCACATCTTTTAATGGCAATGGAAAATGATTGAACATGTCCCTCGACGATCTCATCAAGATCAACAAATCTTTTGGTTCGTGGGGGTGTTAGGGGTTTCAGATCTGATTTTAGGGGTGGCGTGTGTTTCGTGGGGTGGCGTGGCTGGTTTCGTGGTGGTGGTTGGGTTCGTCTGGTTCATGGGTTTGGTTTCGTGGGGTGGCGTGGGTCTGGTTTGTGGTGGTGGCTGGGTGGGTCTAATTCATGGGGTGGTTGTAGGGGTGGTTCGTGGGGTGATTGTAGGGGTGGTTCGTGGGTTTGTTTGTGGGGTGGTTGTAGGGGTGGTTCGTGGGTTTGTTCGTGGGGTGGTTGTAGAGGTTTAGATCTGATTCGTGGTGGTTTACGGTGGGTTCGGTGGTGGTTTAAATTTTTTTTAATTGGATTAGTGTTTAAGTACATATCCTTATATTTTAATAATCATGCTTAAAAACTTTTGCCTTGGCTTCCGTGAAAGGTACAATTGTTGCAAATCATAATAAACAAAGGTAGTACTTGTTTAATATATACTTTTTGTACTATTTATTTATCTTACTTTAACTTGTGTTTGTGATTTATATAAAAGAAAAAAATAGTTTTGTGGTACTTATTAGAATCGTCTCAATGAATAGATTATTAATTTTCAATTGTTAGAATTTATACTTATTAATAATTAAAGGGAAAAATTACTTTAAATAATCCAACCTTTGTCCCATTCTCCCAAAATAAATCAACCTTTGGTTAATTTCAGAATAATCCAACCTTTTACCCCCATCTTCCCATATCACACCTTACAGGTCACCTATCGGGTACAACTGGTAATATGTGCTACGTGGCACTTCATGATTGGATTTTTGTTTTTTTTTTTTTTTTTATAAAAAAAAAACCTCCCATCACCTTCTTTCTTCTTTCTCCCTCTTCCCCCCATCACCACCATAGTCACCACCATCCTTCCTTCTCTCTCCTTTTCCTTCCATGGCCTTCCTCCATTACCACCATCTTCCTCAATTACCACCTCACCTTCCCTCCCTCTTACCAACCAACAAAAGCACCAACATCACCATGAACCACAACCACCACGAAACCCTTCATCCGCCCTCGCGACCTCACTACACCACCCACAACCACCACAAACTACTACTCACCCACCCATACCTATCAAAACCACAAACTTCACCACTCACCACGAGCTAGCACCACCACTAAAACCACGATTGCGTTGGGTTGCGGGCGGAGCAGAGTGTTGTTGGCGGTTTGGCGGTGCAATTGGTGGCTAAAATTGGGTTGTTGCTAGTATGTGAGGGTGAATGTGAGTAGGTGGTTGGGTTGCGGTTTGGTTGTGAGATAGGCTGCTGCTATTTTTGCTAGGTGGCGTGGGGTGGTGCTGCTGCTAGGTGGCTACAATGTAAGGATGGTGCTGCTGTTGTTTGTTGTGATGTGTGCTGCTGTTGTTTGGAGGTGGAGCAGGAGAGTTGGTGTGTGGGTTGGGCATGGCAGGGGAAGTTGTGAGGGGGTTGGAGTGTGGTGGCAGGGAGGTTATGGATAGGAGGGGCAGCAGGAGGAGCTTTGGGTGGTAGTAATGGAGGAAGATCGATGATGGCAAATGGTGGGAGGAAGGAGAGAGAAAGAGATGGCCGATTATTTAGGTAACCGGTCATTTGGGTTCATTTTGAGAATAAGGCATATAATGGTTGGATTATTTCAGAATAATCCAAAGGTTTATTTGGGGAGAATGGGGCAAAGGTTGCATTATTTAAAGTAATTTTTCCTAATTAAAGATAAATGATCAAAAATTTGTATCGGCATACGTGTCCAGTAGAAATGGAGCAAATATTTAAAAATGGAGAGAGTAATACTTAAAAGTTTAAGGGGGTGTTTGACAATTAGTTTTTTGCCTAGCTTTTGGCTTTTTAGTTTGGTCAAATAGCTAAAAAATATGTTTGGTAGTTGGCTTTTTTGTTGGATTTTAAGTTGGCTTTTCCGCCAAAAGCCAAAAGCTAATATGAGTAGCTTTTTCTATTGGTTTTTGGCTCACTTTATCACTAATAAACAGTTAACAACCATAAATAATTTTACCAAACACTTTTGTAAACAATTGTCTTAAACAACTAATTTAAAATTTAAAAAGTCAATCTATACAGCTAATGCTTCCAGCTAGTCAAACAAGTCAAGCAAATAAGCCAATAGCCAACCGTCGATTGCCAAACAACCCCTAAGACTTATTAAGGGGCCGACCAATAAAAAAAAATTAACTAAACCTTCCATATTTTATGCCCGATGTGGCTATGCGCATAATCCAATAATGTGGACGGAGTATATCACATGCATTAGACTTGTAAGTATTCCATATAATTCAGAAACTTTAAAGTTGCAAGACTATTTGAGAGTGAAACTGAAAAAATAATTCACTTAATTCTCGGTAGTTGTCCACATCATATGGAAATAGGACACTATTTGTATCTCGCTCCATCAGAATATTAGCGTGTGAATAACATGTGCCGTATGACTATATTAGGAATTGATGTGAGAATTCGAGTGAAATAGTATGCAAATCTTAATATTTTAGGTGCCACATAAGTATAGCTGTTAATTCGGGTAAACGGGTCGGATTAGTGTGGATCGGGTCAATTTGGATTAACGCCGTAACCTGTGCGGGTCGGGTTTGGGTTGTGTCATGCTTGAGTCGGGTCACGTCGGGTCGTACATCTTATCGGGTTTGGATCAGGTCAATAAAGGTTGGGTTACATTCGAGTCGGGTGATAATAGATCGGGTTTAATTCGGGTTTTCACGGGTCAAAACGATTTAGGGTCATTCTCGGGTTTGAGTCGAGTTTAATTTAAGTCAATAATAATTTGCGGGTTATAATCAGGTCAGGTCATTCTCGAGTTCGCGTCGGGTTCAGTTCAAGTCAATAATTTGCGGGTTATAATCAGGTCGGGTCATTTCTAAGTTGGGTCATTCTAGGGTTTGAGTCGGGTTCGGTTCAAGTCAATAATTTGCGGGTTATAATCAGGTCGGGTCATTCTCGGGTTCGGGTCATTTTCGGGTTCAAGTCAGCAAGTCAATAATTTGCGGGTTATAATCAGGTCGGGTCATTTCCAAGTCGGGTCATGTTCGGGTTTGGGTATCAAATATTGGGTTAATATGGGTTTCAGACTTTCAGGTTGATTTTAGGTCCGGTAATATCGGGTTCGAGTACATTTTTTGGGTCGGTTTGTTAACAATTTATGTAATGACGTTCACATTTAATCATTATCAATTTCTTCATTTATTGTAAGAGAAATAATTTCGGAGAAGTTTAAATTCGAGCTAATAAATTCACGTAAGTTTAGATAAGATATATATACATTATAAGTTCATATTAATTCCAGTAACATAGGTTTAGTTTAGATTTTTAGAAGATAAGTTCAAACTCTATTCTGATCTATTCACATTGTTTCCACTCATTTTAGGGATAACAGTTTCAGATAAGTT